ATCTACTGAATTCAAAAGGTTTTCTACTTCCTATACTCAAGTAGTACTATATTCTTAGAACAAAGGTAAAGGTAGGATTAGCAAAAAATAATGTACTTAGCTTTGCTACACACACACACAGAAGAACCGTCAAGAATTCTAACCAAAATACATTCAAACTTGTGTTCAAATCCAGCATCAAAAACATACAAACATGCTTCAAATGCATCCTTTTTCATTTTCAGTTGAACGTCCCTTTGCTAGTTGTCGCTTGAAAACACATTTCTTACCGCCATCAACAAGCTTCTGGAATAATTCTGGTTGGATATCTCTCAACTCGTCCTTACAGAATCAGTGTTTGCTTAAAATTAGCCCCTTTTTGTGCAAAATGTCAAGGATCAAGGTAGCACTTTCAAGATCAGGCTTCAGTGTTGTAAGTAGATTCACAGTTTATGACCTTCAAGGAAGTGTTAAAACTTCTGAATGAAGCACTAGGTTTTCAGTCTAAATTCAGTTGATTTGTTCAACTCTGCCTGAGAGCAAATTTGTAATAAAAAAAAAAATCTAATGTTTAACCATCATGACTCCCAGTCAGTCTTAACTTTTTATCTTTGTCAAACAGCCAAAGATTATGGACACTCGGTTGAAAAGTGCTTCCTAATAGCGAAGGTTAAATACAAAACCCAATCTCTTACTTCACTTCTCACTCAAAAAAATAAACACAGTATCTGAACAACACCAATATATATATTTTTTTAACTTGATGGAACATAATTTCTTTGCAGCTAAACAAAAACTTTTCAGAATGCAAATGAATTAAAAAAAAAAGATAACAACAACAAAAGAACAAGCGCATGCTGCATAAAATGCAAGCTCACCACAATATACTGCACAAGTGATTTTGTAGAAACTAAGATGTTTTTTTTTTTTTTTTAAATGGACGCATTTTGTTACTTACACTATAGGCCTATTAGTGGAGGGGACTTGAGTAATAACAGAGCTAGATGTTGGCGATGGGAGAGCTGGCTGTATTACAACACTAGCCTCTGTGGTTGCTAGAAGTACATTGGGAACTTGGAGGGATGCAGGGTGGACTATAGTGGATGTTGGCAGTGAGGCTGGCTGCAAAGATAAGTCCTGAAAACACCATACAAGACCATAGCTGCAGGAATGCGTCATCAACACCAGATCAGTTAATTGTACACCTCTAACATGATGGAGTCACTCATTTATCAGGAGAAGAAGCAAATCTTCTTTGGCCCGATAACTATCGGGCTAATGCACAACATTGGCCCGATAGTTATCATTACACAAGTACCCTATTTCAAGCAGCTCATAGCAGTAAATCCACAAACTCTACAGCAGTTAAATTGATAAGACAATCAGGAGAAAATCACAAGCCACAAGTCAACAAGGGGTAGCTTTTTAAGCTTTACCTTATCGTCACTTGTAGTGGATTCAGGATGAGGCAGTGGACTGTCTCTATGTGCGTCTATAACTGTGGGTTCCTCAATTTTGTTGCGTATAATTGGTGTAGCAAGCGGTGACAAATCCAGGGGTAGCTGCAAAACAAGGACCAAAAACAGAATAAGGATGATCAGGAAAAAAGTTCAAAATGGACCCTAAAGTAAGATGATCTGGAAGCAAGTTTAGCACCTTTTTGATGTCATCTTCGGCCGATTTTTTGAAGTCATGATCGAAAGGACTTGCAAGTTCGTTAAAGAGACCGACTTCCTCGCAATTCTTTAAAAAGCGGGTGGGTGTAGGAGTTTGGTCTGAAATGGACATTATTGTAAGTGAACTGGCTTGGGGATAAAATACTTGTTATTTAAGTAGCCCACCTGAAACTAGTAGTGCACTCACCTGCAATGATAAGATTGTCATTTCTTGCTGGGCCAAACTTCAGTGTCATCTCATGCTTGTGTTTGTGGACAGCCAAATGGTCTTCATTTGTGAATCTCTATGTGTGGTACAAATAAAAGTGACAAAAAAAAAAAAAAAAAAAACATTAAAAAAAAAAATTAATTTTTTTTTTGGGCCCACCCCCCCCCAAAAAAACATCTTGGTTACTTTTTACTGTAACACTTTATATATATATATATATATATATATACATATATATATATATATATGTATATATATATATATATATATATATATAAATGAGGATACATGATAAGGATCATATACATATCCAAAAAAACATCTTGGTTACTTTTTACTGTAACACTTTATATATATATATATATATATATATATATATATATATACATATATATATATATATGTATATATATATATATATATATATATATATATATATATATATATATGAGGATATATGATAAAGTCTGTTATTTATTTTAATGCAATTTTTAATGACTGAAAACTCCAGGGATTTACCTGTCCACACCCAGGAGCAGTGCACTGGAAAGGTTTATCATCACTCATATTAAGGAGTTCCTTTTACTTCCACCTATAATTAAACAAAAAAACAAGTTTGATCTAAATATGGGAACGAATTTCCATTTTTTTTTTATACATGTTGCCGTGAAACAACCTTACTGCTATAGTTAGATTTTTGCCAAAGATCAGAGTTCATACTAACGTAAATAAACGCAGCATTGATTGTAAATGTGAAGGCTCTGAGCAAATCTGAACAAAGCCTTATCGATAAGGGGCGGTTGCGGTGGTTGCTTACAAGTCCATGTTCTCATAGAAAACGTAAAGATAATTTTATTCAAACACAAAAGTTAGTTTGTTTTATCGGGGGTCCCATATCTGACCTGTAAATAATCACCCTGCGCTCACAGAACAGCTGTAAGGATGCTACAGAGGTTCATCTGGTTCCAGTCGCTTCCATGAAGCAGCCTTAGCCCTGCGTTGACACACAGTCGTCGCCATATTAGAAGCTAACTGTCACTGTAAACATATGAGACGTCTGCGTCTAGTTTAGCTCTGGTTTTATTGCGCCAAACAAGAGTAGCCCACGGTCACTCAGATGCTGTATTTTAACACAGTTGAGAACACGTCCGTTATCAGTTTATGTAGTCACTTACCCCCTCTGCCACAACCCTCGATTTCTAAAATCCCACGGCTTGTCCAAAGTATCGCGAGAGCAAGTCGACGTCTTCCGTAAACCTTACACCCACACAAGAGCGATTCTCATTGAAGAGACGAGAAGGTACAAGATACGATTATGAAAGAATGATTAATAAAACATCTTCAAATGTTAGATAAGCCTGTTTAACTTGTGGTATGTTGATTAATTAGACACAAAGTGATACAATTTATAGGTTTATTTCAGTTAAATTTGAGGATTAATAGATTACAAGAAATTAAAACCCCAAAACGGCTGCATAAGAATGTTAATAAATTTTTAATACAGAAGAGCTGCTCTAGTATATTATCAGAGAGCAGTTCTGCTGGACATCATTTCTTACTTCAGTGTCCAGCAGACTGCCACTGGCAAAAGTAACAAATAAACTAACAGATTGCTGCAAGCCTATCAACGGAAAATCGAGTGAAAGGAAAAGGTGTGGAAGAAGATGCACAAACAAGAGGTACTGTCACAGTCTTAGAGGATTGTGATGAAAATGCCATTGGGGGAGATTCACAAGGTGTCAACTTGTGATGGAGTCATTTCTTGAAGAACCACCACATGGACATACCCAGAACAACTCACATTTGTTGCATTAAATCCTTCCTAAAGGTAAAACAATAGAAGAATCTTACCTGGTCCATGGAAAAGAGAGGAGAGTTAAAAATCCAAGCAGTATGGCCTCAATTGTGATGTTTTAACAGTTGGTGATGATTAAGGGAGGCATATTTTGGTGTTGGTCCACCAGGCTTAGTCAAATTAAGAAGCAGCACATTCTCCAGGATATTTTTTTGGTACTTAATGCTTTACATTGCTCACAAGCTTTAGAGACTTCATTTTAAAGCAGGCCTTGCATTGCAGCAAGTATCAGAACATGATTCAACAACCATACAACTGTCTGATTAGCCAGCAAACTGGCTTGGTATAAACCCCAAACACTAAAAAATAAAAATGACACCCGAACCAACAATGTAGATCGGTTGAAGGCTGCTAATAGAGGAACCTGTGCTTGGCATAGTAACAATGCCAAAGTGATTAGCCAATGCAGCAATTTAAGTTACATACATATATATATATATATAACCCATATGATGTAATATACAGCAGTACAGTTCATGTAAACCATCTCTAATATTTTATAAATTTCAAAGCTGGATTTGTTTCCCCTCCCATTTAGCTGTAAGGCAGAATCCATAACAGAAATGTTTGTGTAGGAATCTGTAGGGGGGTTCTAAACTACTCATTTTGACATTTACTTTGATGATTTGGAATGAAGTGCAACATACACTGAAACTAAAGCAGCTGTGCACAATAGAGCTCAAAATATAGTCTTCAAGCTGCCCCTGAAGAGTTCCCCAAGCACTGGACAAAAGCTTCACTGTTTAAAGTATTTTTTTTTTCTAATTAGTCAGTGAAGAGCTAATCAGTCAAGCTTAATGACTATTTTGTAGCTTTTGAAACATTGTGGTGGCGAAGGAAAAGGAAACATTTAACTCAATTAAATCATTTAAGTTTATTCAGTGCCATATACAAAAGCAAGTTGCCACTTGCTGTCTAATTACAGTATTAACTGCAGCTGAATGTCAAAGTCATTAAGGTGGACCCCAAAAGGCTAGGTGAAAACGAGGCTGATTTGTGGCAGATCTAAGCAAATCCTACACTGAAAAAGATGACATTCACAAAAGCTAAACGCTTCCCATTTGAACAGTGTGATGTTCCAGACAAAAGTAACTGCCATTACTAAATAGTCAAATCCATGTATTTTAATTGTGTAAGATCTTACATTTGTACAATACATGTTTTGCTTATTTGGACAGTGTCTGAAAGACTTGAAAAATGTACATTTCCATGACACCAACACGGAACAATTTTGGTAGCCACAATAAAATATGTAGTCACATCTGTGGAAGGAAACTGTTGCAGGGGGATGATTTTACATAGCAAACAGGATAAGGAAAGCGACCATCAAACAGAAGAGTCCCATAGCTTCAGACAGAGCAAACCCCAGGATGGCATAGGAGAACAGCTGCTGCTTCAGAGATGGGTTCCTGTAGACAACAAGGAAATCAATACAATAAAAACACTAGTGTGTAAACTGTTGCTACATATTTTTATTTTTTTGTTGTTGCTAAAATTAAAAACAAACCTGGCATAGCCAATAATGAGACTACCAAACACAGTCCCAATTCCAGCACCAGATCCAGCAACTCCAACTGTGGCAGCTCCTGCTCCAATAAACTTGGCAGCAGTGTCAATGTCCCGGCTGATGGCACTGGTCTGGAAGCCTCTCAGAGAAACCTGGGTGAGGGGATTCTGTGGCATCACAGCAACCGTGCTCTGCAGCAGGAAAGGACTAAATGTCAGTCTTCTTTAAGGTCTAAGTGCAATAAAAGATCAACAATGACAAAGTTGAATATGATAAACCACGAAAGAACCAGTTATGACTTAAAGTTAGGACACATGCGTCAACATTTCAATATGAAATTTTACCAGAGTAAAACAAATACAGCATTTTCCCCATCAACTTCATTAAGTCACACAATTACTCAACTCATTTTCATTAGAATGCAGAGAATATATTGTCAAACATTAAAATACTATTTAAAAATGTAAACAGCTGGTGAAAAGCTTAGAATCCTGACCTCTGTTTTGGCCTCAGGCCTGGACAGTACAGAGGCAGACAGGGGTCTGTAAAGAGCCCGGGAACCAGCACGCACCTGAAAAAACAGAACATGCAAAAAAAAAATAAATAAATAAGTTGCATTTAATTAATTTTAATGGCAAAAAACCTGTCCTTTTTATCACATACAAGTGCATATGAAAGGCACCTTGAATGCCAGTGTTTGAATGCCAAGTATGGCATTCAAGCAGCCTCCCAATGTTGTTTACACTAACAAGTTTATTTAGTTATGTTAAATAGTAGATCAGCAATTAAAATGTCCTTAGTTTCCATTACTGTAGAATTTGTTAGATATTATTGCAGAGTACATAGATTATTTTTATTAAAAGATCTGTATCCGGTAACATGACCTTGGAGATAGGAAAGTGTCACGGCTACAAACACCTGACAGTATGGTCAGACAAGCGATGAACATGTAAACTAATTACTTTGAATGTAAATGCTTTTAATTCTTGCAGCACGGTTAGCTTCGTTGGGCTAACAATGAGTTTGAATGACCTTACCCAAAAACATTCATTAAAGATGTCCGCTAAGAGTAAGAGCAATTGTAGTAAAACATTTTAACCCTAGAGCCCTAAAACACAGCTCATGCAAACGTTGATGTACTGCTTTCTGTAAGAGAGCCTGGGCTAGGTTTAGCATTAGCTGCTGGCTAACCCTGCAGGCCTAGTCGGCGGATACCCTTGGCATCAAGCTAGTCAAGTTCAATCGGAGGCCTACATGATAAACCGTAACTATAACTAAACAGTTCGGATAGGAGATTTTTAACTCACCACAGCCGGCGTGGACACAAACTTTGCACAGGCATACATCTTGTACTTTAGGTAGTTTTAACCGGTTCGGTCAAATCTGGTAGAAGCCCGGGTCTCTCTGAAGAAGGAAGAGCGGAGAGAAGTAAGGTCAAATGGCTGTAAAAATACCCAACTTACAAAATAAAGACATTTGAATGTCTATTCACATCCATCCTGCATGCTGTTCACACTTCTATAGAGCAAAGTAAAGCTAAGCGAGAGGATGAATATAGATTTATGAAGATTCGCTTCTCATTCAAACTGCCATTACAGACTTACCGACTGCAGAGGTCGAACCACAGTGGAGGAGAGAGCGCCTGCGCGTCGTGATGTACAAGAGACCCGGATGTAAGTGGAAGGTCACGTCACCAAAACTTTATTGAAAATTAACACAGGACAAAGCAACATAGTCCTGTAAGTGAAAGACGTTGAAATAACAAAAAATGACCAAAGATGAATGTTCATATCTTCATGACCATTCATGGCCATTTTTGTTCATATGAACATTAATGTTCATTCATCTTTGGCCATTTTTGTTCTTTAAACATCTTTCACTTATGTTTGGAACTGGGGTTGGAAAGTAGTTTGGATGGAGGGTTGGAATTAGGGTTGGAAGATCGATTGAAAGAATGGTCGGAATTAAGCTGAGAGGTTTGGAAGGTTTGTGAACCCTAGAGCTAGTTGGCCATTGTGTCTTAAAGCTAGTGACCAGAGCCACCCATGTTTTTTTTTTGTTTTTTTTTTTTCAGACCGAGCATAACGGGAACAAAAAACAAAAACTTGCAGAGGGTCTAGTTATTCCTATCAAGCTGCTTTTCTGTTAACAGTAAAACAGGAAACTGTCCCTTCAAAACACAAACATCAAACAGGAAGTTAATCATAGTTAAAATTTAAAAAAGGCAAAATTTAAAAAAGGGATGCAAGCAAATAAAGAAATTAACTCAGTGTTATTTACAACTACTTTTCACCTTTACTTGATTAAAAATAGTTTGACAGTAATTTATCTAAGTTTTTGTGTACTCTACCCACTGGAAATGCTTTTCTTTATCAGGAACATGCATGCTATAGACCCTGAAAGACATATGACAGGGCAACACTGAAAAAACACTGTCGGAGGCAGCAATACATTTCTAAAGAAATGAAATCTTTCTCTCATTTTCTGTCTATTTCACAACCATAAACTTAATGCTGGTTTCTCATTATCGGCGAATCTGTGGCAACTCTCATCAACATCTGAATAATCAGATATAGGCATCTTGCACTAATATGTTTGCATCTTTCAGTCATGTGTCAGGTAGCTGTTGTTTCCTAAGACAAGACCTTTTTGACATTCATGTTCTTTAGATATATTTCTTTTATCAACCATGTCTTACACTGGTCCGATTTAATTATTTTCTAAAGACATTCTTCAAACCATGCAGGATTCTGAGTCTCAGAATTTAGTTTTTTTCTTCTACAAGAAAAAAAACAACAACAACCTGTTTTTAACCAGCACCTGTTTAATTTAGCACTGTGTCCGGAGCGGCTGATGGCTCACGGTGATATCTTTGTGACTTGCAGGCTGATGGCGGAGCTGTAGGCTACCAGCAGTAGGCAGATTTATAATCGTGATGAATGACTCCGCAGCAGCTGGTCTGTGATGGAAAGGTAATGAGCAAAGGGAGCCTGCCTCTGCTGCACACAAGGCTTAAAGGGAGGAGAGTCCCAGTGGCTCCTCAGGTATGATCTTTTCAGTTTCACAGTGAACATAAAGCCACAGATTCCTAACCTCTTAGGCAGTGAGGAGAATCAGCTGGTGCATTACACACAGTATGAACCAAACACTGTAGAAGACAGTGACAGATCTTATTCATTAAGATAGGAAACGACAGCTGAACACTATTCTACTTTATTTTTGCTTTTCTTTGTTCTGGCTCTCACCATTTCATTCTACTTCATCTTTGGTCTAACATGATTCCAAGCCTGTTCATTTTGTAAAGTTTACACAATAGAATGAATCGCAATAATAACAAACATGGCCTTCAGACATCACTGATCACTGATGTCTGATGTCTCACATCAGACATCACATAGTCTGATGTGAGAAAGTAGTTTATTTTGCAGGCTATGCTGGTTTGCAACGGTAAACAAAGCATGGATAACCAGGTCGCTCCCAAAAGAACCTTTTGCGCACAGGAGCATCTTTAAAAAATTGGAATATCAGCAAAGAGGTCAAAAGTGTCGCTTCAAAAAGTGAAGCTATTAAATATACTCATTAGCTTTATTGCTGTCATTTTAATAGCGAATAAAACAATCTGTTAGTTTTTAAAATTCTACACTTTCCACTCTTCCTTTGATCTCTAGGGCCTTGACACAAGATGCAAAACTGGTTTTCATTTGACCCACCCAATATTGCAGTTATCCCTGTTTCATGTGCACTGTTTTTATGACATTTTTGTTCCACTTAACTTTTCAGTGCATCTATGACTTTAACTTTTTGAATAAGATTACTAAAACAAATTCTCTTTTTAAAGCTTTTCTAAATTATTGAGCTGTACCTGTAAAACTTAAAACTTTACATTTTCATTGCATTGCTCTTAGATTTGCTCCAAAAATTCCTGAAGTTCAAATGTAAAGTATATATCAATTACTTTACATATAAAATTGAAACTTTGTACATGATTTAGAGAACTGAATTTTATAGTGTTGTTTTAAATTTGTATATTTATATTAAGATGTGTAAAACAAAACAATAAAGAAAAAAAACATTTAAATTAAATATTGAAAAGTTTAATTATTCAACCATTGCATATACCTAAGCCACACAGGTTGCCTACTTCTATGCTATGGAACACAAACAACCCGCCCCCCCGCATTATTATGACGAACTAAATGTTGCAAATCCTTGTAGTTTATAATCTCATCTAGTAAAGTTTTATTTTCTCTGGGTTTTTTTTTATCAGTACAATCTCACTTTTTTTTTCCGTATTTGTCAACGATTAATAAACTTTAGCAACAGTTTTGGGAACAAAAAGAGTATTGTTGTTCTACTAAAGATCCAGAAGAGGGCGTAATGGTGTCTGATGTGTTCGTTGCCTTTGTTACTGGGGTTATAGTAGCTGCACCTACAAGATGAAACAACATGATTTTATTCCTTTAAAATGTTTCTAGCAGGCGAGAAAATATAATATTTGTATTACTTATCTCAGTATTAACATAAGGATGTAAAAAGTTTTATCCTCCCCTTTTAGAATTTGGTTCTATACTAAAATCTACAATGCTGTTTGATTTATTTTTTTGTGTGGTGCGAGAGGATTTTCAAAGCAAAATTACCATAAAATATATTCAGTTATTATTATTTTTTTTAAATTTCTAGTAATGCAAGATGTAAAACCAAAGAGTGAACACTAGGCCAGAGTGTAATGCAGCATCTTATAGGTCACATCTAACCAAATGGTAAAACATGAACATCTACACTGCATTAATTGCAAGACAGCACATATCAAAGTGGCCATTAACTACCTGAGGTCAATGTCATACTATCTAATTAACCGGCCAGCGGCTGTGTGGTCCCTACATGGCTGTGGAAGGTGGAGAGTGCAGCCCATCCCACTACACTACGCCACCCTTTACCCGCCTTTTACTTCCCCCACTTTAGCCGGCATGCACGCACTCGCTGTCTGAGTTCTTGCATAGACCGCTGTGAGACATTCCATTTGCATGCCCGCCCCATCAAGCTGGATGCACTCAGACTGGTAATAAAAGGCATTGACCCCCTTAACCTTTATGAATTACAATTTGTGCCTGCAGCACGTCCTGTCAGAGGCCTCAGAAAAGCAGGCACCTCAGTCGGAGAGTGTGCGTGTTGTTTTGCAGTTGTTAAGGAGAGGGGAAAAGGTTTTTACAGCTCCTCGTCGGAGCTTCTGACAAGCAGCTAGGAGGCGGCCTGACAGCACAAGCAGGGTAGGGAGGGACTGCGATGCTGCTGATGGCTCCGTGTTAATCTCCATGGCTGGATGCTGCACACAGCCGAGCGGGTTCCTTTCTATCTCAAGAGCAGAAACTGCAGTTTAGCTCTGTGTCTTTGCCATCTGCAGCCACTGAAGCTTTTCTGTGGGAGTACTTGTTGACTTAGGCTGGAAAATTACTTAATAGACTTTAATTTATTATCTCTGCTTATTTGACAATTATTGCCCTTTTGTGTGAAAAAAGCATTAAGTATATATATGTATGTGTATATAGATTTACACATCTGTCAAGTTTCACATCAACAGATCAAAACAAGCAGACTTTTTCTGCCTGTCAAAGGTGTCAAAACTAAGAACTCTCGCTTCTTTTGACAATTTGCTTCTGTACTGTAGTAGGTGTAAACTCCAAGATAAATACACGTTGTTTGGTGATTTACAAACAACAAATTCTTTCCCATTTTGAAGAGAACCTAAAAGTAGTGGGCCAGTGAATTCATGGATCACAAATGAAAACTTACTTAGAGTAACAGTAATTCTGGCACCAGTGATTTAGATTAAAATAATAATTTCTTAGCATTTTTCCCAATGAATACATTGACTCATAATGTTGGATTTTTCAACAATTTCCAGATTACGATAAAATGATGGCTTTTCTCAATATTCATAACATATACCCACATTTGAAATCATTCTAAAAAATATTAATAGTAAATGACTTGTACTTGTATAGCACTTTATTTAGCCCAAGATAACACATATTTGATTTAGAGACTTATCATCCAGCAATATGAAGTTACAACTAGGTTTTGAACAGTTCCAGATTCGGAAGGACAACATCAACAGTCATACAGTTGCTACATTTGAAGTCTATTTAATGCAGGTTTTATTCGGAAATCTCCAGCACAAACCTTATAACTGCAGGTTTCCGAAGATTGATATGTCAAAGCAACCTGGGCTTCCTACACCTCAGCAGAACCACAAGCTTATCGCCTCCAGGCCATGCTGCACTGATGCAGTAATTCATACAAAAGGAGAACCAGTCATGTATTGAGTGCATCCAAATGAAAGCACTTCTCTGAAACCTTACATTTCTGTTAAAAATATCTTATTTTCAGCACACCAAAAGAGCAACAAAGTACCACCAGTGAGGCATGGAAATGGCATGATTATGGTCTATGGTTACTTTTCTTCAGTTGAAAATTGTATATTTTTTCCCCTAATCAGTATTAATTTTAATACAGTTCAAAACATTTTGAACCAAAACTTTCAGTTGATTGGTTGAAAACTGAAGATGAAATTTTTCAGCATAACAGCAAATTTCACTCAAGCAGTCAACAAATGACTGACTTCAGATACAGAAAAGTGATGGTTTTGGATGGTTAAAAACCAAATCTGATAGAAATAAGGGCTGTAGCCAAAAACCTTTA